CTTTTCACAGTGAAGTTCAGGTTCTATTAAACGACACCCGGCAAAATAGAGGGCACTTGTAACAGTGTAGCTTCATTTAACCTAACACTATGCTACTATTGTTTTATATATTACATCAATCTATATTATAAACTCAATGATACAGTGTAATACTTTTTGTTTTAGACAAGCAACCACATGTCTTCAGGAAATTAAGAAAATGAGTGTGAATGTGACATGTGAATGTGACATGTGTATGTGCATCATTCCTGTTGTTAATTGTTCCTTTCTGTGCATCTGGGTCACCATCTAGTATCATTTCCCTTCAGCCTGAAGAACTTTCCTTTAAAATTACATGTGGTACAGGAGCCCTAGGAAGTGAATTTTATGGCTTCGATGATCTAAAAATGTCTTTTTTTTGCCTCCCCTCCCCCCCCCCTTTTTTTTTGCTAATTGGGGCATTTACGTGTAATAAAATTCACCAGTTTTAGCTGTGCTTCTTGGTGAATATTGGTAATTATTTATAGTCGTGTAACTACCACACTGCTCAGTAGAGAAACACCGAATGCAGAGAACCCCCTGCTAGGCTCCTCCACTGCTTTGGAGTCCTTTCCCCTGCTCCTTGTCCTCACCTCCTGCTTCCCCAGCCCTTCTCTCTGCCCTCATCCCTCACACCCTCCTCTCCCCTTAGTTTAATCCTTGCCTCCCACCCTCACTCCTTCCCTTCACTCAACCACCGCTCTGTTTTCTGTCACTGCAATAGTGAAATTTCTAGAATTTAATGGACATGCAATCGTACGTTGTGTAGTCCTTTGTTTGGTCTCTCCCTGAGCATAACGATGTTTGAGATGATGCCATTCACTCATTTTTGTTGCTGATCAGCTGCTGAGTATTGCTGGAATCCCAGTTTATTCATTGGTTTCTCTATTCTCTAGTTGATTGACATGTGGATTACTCCAGTTAGGGTTTGTTATTAATGAAACCGCTAGAAATAACTGCTTACAAGTGTGACTTTACATTTTTATTTCTTTAGGATAAATACATATTTGTGGAATTGCTGGGTCATGTGGTAATGGATGGGTAGCTGTATAAGAAATTGCCATACTGTTTTACAAGTCGACTGCCACATTTTTTGCATTCCTACCAGCAATATCAGACATTCCTATTTTTTCCATATTCTTGACAGTATTTAGACTTATCAAATGTCTTTTTAACTTTACCTATTCTAGGTGATGTGTGATGGCTTCTCATTGTGGTTTTAACTTGCACTTCTTAGATGACTAGTATTGTTTACTATCTTTTCATGTTCATCTAAGTGACTTATTACATATATTTTATGAACTATTTTGCAAATTCAATGATTAATTCTAGAGACTTTTTCAGAATCTCCCAGCGTTTTCTACGTATGCAATGAAGCTGGTGACAAAGAAAGACTTTTGTTTCTTCGTTTCCTATCTATTGATCTTTTTTCTTTTAAAATTATTTTTATTTGGTAGACGTGAGGTCTCACTATCAGGCTGGTCTCCAACTCCTGAACTCAAGTGATCCTCCCACCTCAGCCTCCCAAAATGCAGGGATTACAGGCATGAGCCAC